TTATTTCAGCTTTGATAAGCCTGGACAAATACCTAACAGCTGAAACATTGTGAGATTTGTACGCACGTTCATTTTGTCGTCGCAGTTTAATGAACTTCGCGATTGGCCGGTATCTCGATCTGTTGTACTTAACATCATTAAGTACATTGGCGTTCGTTTCAGTCGTAAAATCTGTCATAATATGCTCATGTCATTAACGTTTTTACAAAAATTTGAAAACTTTTTATGCATATAGGCTCAAGAAACTGACCGTGTCACATTATCTTACTTTGAAATTCGTGCATCCTTCCACATTGAAAACAAAGTCCGGTAGGNTAGTTAGGTTCATCGATCTGTGGGTTTCATCGGAATCAAACTAAGTAAATAAAGTATGCTAAGGCTGTTTGCCTCGACTGTGCCTAGAATAATAAACCAAAGTCGTTTTTTTTGCAGAGATGATAGCGTGTGATAAATGGTGCGGAAAGCCTGATCACCATTGATAGTGTGCTGTGTCTCCGGTATACTATATTGACAGACAGCACTTTTTGTCGTCCTAGTTTCACCATTTCGCAACCAGCGGGAGTGGTGTTCGTGTATCCTCTTTGACACGCGATCAAGGATCCTGTCCGCATGGCGAAATCGTGAAAGCCATGTGGAATCTCCAGACACGCTCCAAACATCAGCTCCTTTGTGCGCATACGCTAACATATACAAACAGTGTAATTCTACACCGGCTCTTGGTTAATCGTAAGGCCACTGTCATCCACATCAGGGAAACATTCTTGCACTAATTATTTTTCTTATTTACTCTGGTGTCGAATTCGCTTTCTGTTATTTTTTTCTTGATCCAATGTTTTTATATATCCACAGTACAAGTTTGTAAATTACCAAAAATTCACCCGTTGGGTGAACTTGAACTTAAACAGAAGCTCTACAATTACGGCATTCAAGATTTCGAAGTGTAAAGTTCTATCCCTACGCCACAAATGAAGATTCTCGTATTTCCTCGGAAATCACCAGATACCACATACTTCAAGTGAAAAAGACTTGGGTATTGTTGTTCATGAGGACTTAATCTGCTCTATCGATTGCGCTACGGCTTCGTCCGATGCTGTGAAGAATATCGGCTTACTTTGGCGAGTCTTTGGCCGGTTTGAACCAGCACTGTTCCCACGTTTGCTATCAGTCTAAATTCGACCTTACACAGAGTACGCTATCCAAGCTTGGAGCCCATGGTTGCAAAGTGATCGTAAGATGCTTGAGCGTCCACAAAGGATGGCCACCAAGATGGTTAATGGATTGCATTACCTCACCCTTCCATCTCACGTCGTT